TCGAGGAGGTTGGTTTGTTGCAGTCTAGGACTACTGGGGTCGATGACTCCCCGAGCTGCGGGAGCTCGAATGAGTTGATGACCGCAGTGGCGAGCTTGAAATGCTCGCGGTCGCACATGAAGGCATGCGAGAAGGCGCTACTCATGATGATGATGCTATTCGGTCCTGGCATCTTCAGCTTGAGGTAGGTGTAGTTGGGGATTGCCTTGAATTTGGCGTAGCATGACTGCCCTAAGATGGCATGGTAGGACCCTAGGAAGTCCACCACTTCGAAGGTGAGGACCTCTGAGCAGAAGTTGGCTTGGTTGCCAAACATTACGGGCAGGTCGATCTGCCCGAGTGGGTATGCCTGCGCTCCCAGGATCACCCCATGGAAGGGAGAGCCCTCTAGGCGGAGTTCTGACCAGGGGATGTGCATGGCATCGAGGGTGTCGACATAGAGGATGTTGAGGCCGCTGCCTCCGTCCATCAGCACCTTGGTCAGGCGCTTTTTGTGGACGATGGGGTTGACGACGAGCGGGTAGCGTCCCGGTCTCGCGACGTGGGAGGGATGGTTCCTCTGATCAAAGGTGATTAGAGATTCCGACCTGCTGAGGAAGGAGGGGATGACCGTCTCGGCGGCGCATGCCTCCCTATAGCGCACCTTGGGCTAGCGCTTGGACCAAATGGCATCGGATCCGCCGAAGATCATGATGCATTTCTCAGGGTCAGGGAGGATGTCCCTATCCTTGCCTGTTGCGCCCCCTTTCTTAGCTACCGCCTCCTTGCCGTCTCCTTCTTTTGGCCTACCGGCATGTCACAGGAAATGTTTAAGAAGCTCGCAGTCCTTGTAGAGGTGTTTAACGGGGTAGGCGTGGTTGGTGCATGGGCTATCCATGAGCTTGTTGAAGTGGTTAGGCAGGCCCTGCTGGGCTGTTTACTCGTGTGATCAGCTACAGCGACCAACGCGGTGTTGTCCGATCGGCGCCGATCCTTTTTGTTCTTCTTGCCCCTCTGCGTGGAGGGGCCCTCGTCTTGGTCCTCACGCTTGGTCTTGCCTTTGTCCCGGCCTCCATTGAAGACCTCTCCAATCACCTCCTCACCAAAGGCGTGGTTTGTGGTGATGTCGAGCAGGTCGTGGGTGGTATGGGGCTTTAGGCAGCCAAGCTTGTGGATCAGGGACTCGCAGGTCGTCCCGGAGAGGAATGCACTGATGATGTCTGCATTGACGACATCAGGGAGCGAGTTGCATCGTTGGGAGAACCTATGGATGTAATCCCGCAGGGACTCGCTGGACTCCTGCTAGCAGCTCTTGAGGTCCTAGGAGTACCTAGGGCGGACGTACGTCCCCTGGAAGTTTTCGACAAAGATCCTCTTGAGGTCCGCCCAGCCGCGGATGTTGTCGTGCGGGAGGAATTCGAGCCACACTCAAACATATTCCCGTATGTAGATGGGGAGATACTGAATGATGAAAAGGTTATCATACACCCCTCTGGCTCAGCAGGCGAGCCAGAAATCTTTGAGCCAAATACCGGGGTTCGTCTCCCCGGTGTATTGGCTATGTTGGTGGGCGGTCGGAAGCGCTGTAGGAACGACGCTCTCTGGATACGCTAGCCAAAGGCCCGTGGTCCTAGATCATCGGGGCTGGGACTCTGGTCGTCTGGCCGGCGACCATGCCTAGGGCGCATTTCACCACTCCCCTCGATGGTTCGGCCGGGACCTGTGTCGCCTGCCCTCACCGTCGCCGGTGGACGTCATCATCATGTCGGGCCCGATGCCAGTTGTTGATGGTGCTGTGAGCGTCTTGGTGTGAACTGGGCCGCTTGCGTACCGGCGGTTGGTGCGGAGCAGGCGCCAGGTCGGACCATGGCGCAGCCACTACCTCCCGAGCCACGCTTGAAGGCTGTAGTGGTGAGCGGATGGAGCGATCCGCCTGGTGCATCCCCACTACCCTAGTGGGGAGAGAGGGCGTGTGTTGGAGTCACGATGCAGAGCTTTCCACTGTTGAACGGCGGTGGCTTCTACCAGCGTCCCGAGGTTTCGGTAGACCGCCCGCTCCTGGGGGTCGATGGGCTCGGGAACACCGCGCGGAAGTATTTGCCGCAGCGGCGGTGTTCTGGCTAGCCCGAGCGAACTAGGGGGGTTCATTCCCCTCATTTATGATGTCGCGATGGACCTGGCGGGCATGACCCCGAGCGCCGCCGGTCGGGTCATGCGCATGGGGTGCAACGTGCTGTACCGAGCGCGCCAGCATAGGCGGCGGCTGGTTCTGCCACTGTTGTCGTAGCTCCTCGGTGTGCCCTTGCGCGAGCACGAGGGCCCCGCATGCGGGTCTAGAGGGGTGTGCATCTGCGTAGACTCCGCAACCACCGGCGGCTGTCCCGGAGCGTCCGCCATAGCGCACTCCCGGGATGGACGGTGGCTAGGTGCCATGTCGCCGATGCTAGAGCCATCGCGCTCAACCTCGTCATCGTGGAGTTCGTGGAAAATGGTAGGAGCATAGCTCGTCATTTCCATGAATTCGGATGTAAGAGGAGGCGGCGCCAGCGTCCTTCGGAGCCCCTGAGCGCATGTGTCCGTGGGGGACGCGAGGCCGCAGGGGAACCGATTGTACGATGTTCGCGGTGTGGACAATACGGTCCCTCCGGATAATCGGCGGGAGATAGTAAATAGAGAGTAAATAACATAACGTATATTACTCATAGCGGGGTTTGAGTAGAGAGTTTGCTCGAAATGAAGCGCAGGTGCCTCATCGTTGAAGTCATCGTGCGTCCCGGAGACGATGGAGGGCACCCCTCCGACGGGCGCCAGAACGAGTGCCTCCTTGTGGAGGTGTAGTATGCCGAGCCGGTCGGTGACGAAGTCCAGGCTTCCGAAGAGGAAGGCCTGGGACGGCTCGAAGACGGGTGGAACCCACATCCCAATAGGTGGGAGTGCAGGAAACTCCGGTGAGCTGAAGCGAGTCATATCGCTTGAGCCCGCCATGGCGATGGTGGCAAAAAAGTGGATCATCCGATGACCAAAAAATGTTGAACGTACAACGTCTTCCCCACGGACGGCGCCAACACATAAATATTTGTAGTTTTGCCGTACGTTGTGATCGGAGGTGGCATAGCACTCAATGACATAGGGTTTATACTGGTTCAGGCAACGTGCCCTACGTCTAGTTTGAGTCGGTTGGTGACTTTATTCCTGAGCCTAGGTGCTCGAAGTTTGCAGTGGGGTTACAAATGAGAAGGAGAAAGGTGGGTGGTACATGAGGTCCGGTCGGACTCTGGTCAGAGGGGCCGAGAGTGATGGGAGCTCCGCTATGTGCTAAGTGAACTTGACCGATCTGAATCAACTCAACTATTGGGAGGGAGTGCATCCCCTTTTATAGATTAAGGGGATGGCCTTACAAGTAAGAGGGATAGAGTACGTATCCTACTAAGTCTTGTTGCCCACGCCGACGGGTACAGGATGATGGTAGGCGCCCAGGATATTGTTGAATATCAGATGCACGTGGGAGGTAGTGTTGTCTTCTTCGAGTATGGCAGATGTCGACGCCTACCACACTGTTGATACCCGGAGGCATGCGAGGGGTTTTACAATATTCGCCTAGTACAGTAAATGCCGGCGTCCACAACACTGTCGATGCCCAGAGGCATGTGGGAAGAGCCTTACCGTATTTGTCTGGTATGGGAGTTAATGACGCCTACAACACTGTAGGGGAAAAATGTCGGCGCCTACAACACTGCTTGACTTCTGTCGTGCCCGGAGGGTCGCAGGGTACTGTCCTGCAGGTGTACAGGGTATGATCCTTGGTATTGCGGTTTGACTTGAGTGCGCTGCCTTACTTTCTCCGTCCGTTTCCTGGTCCCTACCGAGCGGGCTTCCGGTCGGTTGGTCCCAATCGACCCTGATTGCGCCAGTTGGAGAGGAGTTGTAAGCAAGGTTCGTCGCATCCCCAGTCGGAGAAGCGGGTCGGAGTCGGAAGTGGTGTTTGGCCAGGCCTTCCGGTCGGAGAGGCCGTCCGGAGGCGGGCTGGAGACTGAAGCGAGCGCTCCGGTCGGAGAGGTGGGCAAGAGTTGAAAGCGGGCGTCGTTCCTCCTCGGCCAAGCCTTCCGGTCGAAGATTGGATCGTCCTTCTGGTCTGTCGTCTAGGTATTTTGGGCCGGCCCATGAGTTACGTGTTGCTCGCAACGTTATCCGTTGGGCTGAGTCTTTGTTGGGAAGCCGGTCCATGATAGACCCCGGTTTATGAACACGACACCTCTCCACCCCTTAAGGACACTCCTAACTTATAAATGAGGATAGTTTTTATATTATTAATTATTAAGGTGCCAATTCAGCAAAATGGTAATGTGGTATTACAATTAAAGAAGAGAGATTATAAAAATTGGTTTTAGACAAAAACTATGTCTACATGGAAAGCAAGATGTAAAATGATGTGACAAGTAGATAATGGAGAGATAAGACATATGATTAGACAAAAAATATTTTAAAAAACTATCCATTAGAAATATAATTTTTATGTGTAATGTCTGTAGATATAAAAGTTATCTCATAGTTTTTGAATCGGGACCGCCGTAACACCCTAACTCAAAGCCAAAGCTCTAACGCTAAATTAAAATTCATGTGTTCATTCGTGTGAGTTGATCCTTCCCCCAAAAGAAAACAAGATGAAATGGGTCATATTCAAACGTATCGGTGTTATTTATCCATACAAAAAAAAATATGCTGACATGCTGGTATGTCACTCACGAGACTTTAAGCACAATTATTTTTGTCATATTCGTTTGGCTAATAAGTCATGGCTGAAAATACTGTTAGCTGATTTGTTGTGAGAGAAAAATATTATTCGTTGATTGAAAAAATACGACTTATAAGCCCAACCGAACATGGCGTTTAACGTTTTTCTTCCACTTAGGCTGAGGCGCTGTCCTATCGCCGTCCCCTTCTCCGTCCGCGCATTCCACTTCAGCCAGACACCCCCACCCGACTCGTAGCACTCACGCCCCGCCCAGGCGCCGGCGCCGGCACTAGCCGGCGGCGGGGGCGGGTCGCCTCCACATGCAGCTTCTGTTTGACGTACCCGCCGCCGGCCTCCTCCTCGACCTCGCCTTCCTATCTCTGGGCTGCTTCGTGCCCGTCTCGAGCACGGCGTCGGCGTCGTCCTTCGCCAGCAGCTTTTCCGCAAGCTCCGCGGGCACCACGTCCACCTCCCGCAGCAGCGCTTCAATCTCCCGGAACAGGAGGTGGTGGCCGTTGACGCCGTGGTAGATGGCCGTGAGCTCCTTGAACGCGCCGAAGCCGCAGTAGCCCATGTGGATGTGCTTGTCCATCCGGCCCGGCCGGATCAGCGCCGGGTCCAACCGGTCCATGTTGGTGGTGAAGATGAGGATGCGCTCGTGCCCGCTGCTCGACCAGAGCCCGTCCAGGCGTCCACCATGTTGAGTAGTCCGGACAGGGTGGCCTGTATCATGCGGCACACGTCATTTGTTGGCAAGACAACGCATGGTTGGTAAGTGACTCCACAATTGTTTCAGGGGCGTGTTTGGTTGAAAGACCGATAGTAACCAAGCCAGATTTTATCCGTTGATCGTGGATGGAGCAACGTTTGGTTTGAGGCCGCCGGCCCAAATCTGGTGCCGAGTTTTGGCCGAGATGCCAGGGTTTGGCAGGACATTCTTCAGTAGTTCAGTCCCAATCCAAACGTGTCCTAGACCCTAGTGGCTAGTGCATTCCATCGGCATGTTCGCTGGTTGATTTTTGGACTAATAAGATTGGCTGGTGTTGGTTTGTTGTAAGAGAAAAATACTGTTGGCTGGCTGATAAGCTCTCACTGAAACCAACAAACGAACATGCTGCCGTGTTGTTCTATACTTCTACTCCTATCATGTTATTACTCTAAGTGTCCTAAAATAGATACAATTCTAAATTTGAATTAACTTAAAATTTTCAAGTTTAATTAACTAAGTTTATAAAAAGGAACATCGATATTTATATCGCTAAATAGTCTTATGATGCATATTTGATATCATTGATGTATACAGTATTTGATATCATTGAATGTTAGCTCTCTATAGTCTTGGCTAAATTTGATATTTGACTTCTTACAAAATGGGATTTGTATTTCTTGGAGCGAGGAGTACTAGTGAACATTCAATACAAAGTTACGGTAGATTAGTAGGTTATACAGTACGAAATAGGAGTAAAAACACAGACGACGCATGCCTAGTGCAAATTGTCCTACTTATTTTCTTTCATAAAGTCACGCTACCATGCGAGCGCCACGACCACGGATTTTAGAAAAAGTTTGGCTTTATCATCTTATTAAATTCTATCTTTTCAAACAAAGTTCTGTATTAAAATAAGCTCTTGCCTCCTATCTGCATCCTTTTCTACTTAGAATACTTTTTTTTCTAAAAGGATAACGATGTGTTATCGTGCATTCGTGCTAACTGTGAAATGCTAACAGTGAAAGAGTGGAGCAAACCTTTGTTTCGTTGATTGCAAATTGCGAAAACTATCCTTTCTTCTGGGTGCTTAGAATTCAGATTGACTCACCTTGTGATTCTTGGGAGCCTGCTGGCTGCTCGCATCGGAGCCTCCGTCGGCTTCTCTCCTCTGCGCTGCAACCGACGCGCAGTCGACATCTTCGATCAGCAGTATGGACCTGTTCTTCATCCGGATCAGCAGTTTCCTGAGCTCGGTGTTGGACCGGACGGCGCCGAGGTCGAGGTCATACACGTCGAAGTGGAGGTGGTTGGAGATCGCGGCGACGAGGCTGGACTTGCCGGTCCCGGGCGGCCCGTGGATGAGGTAGCCTCTCTTCCACGCCCTCCCCTCGTAGTACTCCTTGTGGCCCAGGAACCTGTCCAGGTCGTCCAGCACGTCCTGCCGCAGCGCCGCGTCCATGGCCAGCGTCGCGAACGTGGACGCGTTGCGAGCCTGACGGGCCGCCACTTCCCCCACTCGTTGCTGTACAGCTTGGCCTGCCTCCGGTCCCGCGCCATGGCCTCGACACGGGCCATGACGAACGGCAGGTACGCGCCGAGCACCAGGTCCTTGTGCTCCCCGTCAAAGCTGAGCCTGAACGCCTCGCCCGCGCCGCCGCCGCCGCCGCCCGCCATGCATGGGGCGCGCGCGAGGCTGCGTACGTAGCAGCGATCAGGGCCTCTGACCGATGACGTGACCAGCTCGGCCGTGCCACCGATTAGGGTGCGGCGGTGACGCGCAAAGCATCATGGCGCGGCAGTGACGCGTCACTCGTCAGGGCGCGGCAGAGCCTAATATAGGCCCGCGACCCAGTCCCGCCCTCCCTCTCTGTTTCACTCCACGTTGTGCAGCAGCCACCTCCGTGCCGCCTTGCCTCCGTCGCCGTGCCTCCCAGCCCGCACCTCCACGCCATTGCCTCCCAGCTCCCCCACGATCGGCCGTGAATTTCCCTCCCTTGCCGTTCCTCTCTCTATCTTCCCCGAAGCTCCTCCTCGACCTTGTCAAGGTAATGAAGCTCCTCCTCGGCCTCCACAGTGGATCCTAATGATTTGAATGAGTAGTTATGGTACGGAAGAAAATATGAGTTCGTTAGAACGTTGGATTGAAGGATTAGGATTAGGATTGCCAATGTTAAGGTTAATTGGTTAGTTAGAATTATGATTCGCATGTATTTTGCTTGTTTGAGTTTGCATCTCAACTTTTATATGTGAATAAATATATGGACACACCGATGATGTACCAAATTTTATTTTTACTGATCAAAGTGTAGTTTTTATATAGTTTTTATGTTTGCATCTAAGATAGAGTTTACACCAAAGTGTAGGTTATATTTTATTTGTTGTAATGCAAATGGTTCTCATTGACATTAATTTGTGATGTTTTGATTTTTGTTTGTTAAATTACAACTGTTTTGTTAGATGCAAGAAATGTATCGGGAGGAGTTTTGGCGAAAACGGGGTCGTCCTCGAGAATTATACCCCGACGCGTCTAGCAAAGATGCCCCCATCCCTCCTGATCTCCCTGTCCCTAACTGTGACTGTGGTTTCTCAGCCGACGTGTTTCAATCGAGACATCCAGACACAGCGGCGCTTTGCTTCCACACATGCAGTCGTTTTAATGTAAGTAATTATTTCTATTATCTTTTTTCTTCATTTGTGTAAGTAGGCTACTAATATTTTGTTCGAATCTTGTTGTGTAGGACCATGAGAGATGCTTTTTTTTCAGTGGATCGACGGTGCAGACAAGTTTGACTCTAGGTACCTCCTTTTTGACAATTGATGTAGAGGGAGACCTCCACGTGAGCACTTCAAGCGGTGGGTTCCACCCCTTAACCCCAGCCAATGACGGCTAAGGAGAAGCACCTAGCCACACCATAGTTAGACAACTCGAGGAATCTCCTCTGTGCGAATACGGAGATCGAGCTATGATAAACCCTGAGAATACGTTGGAGTTTGTGTGTCCGAACAAACACGAAGTAAGTGGAAAATGTATCTGTTTAAATATTTAGCTCTATATGTGTGTGCATACTAATCTATTCTCTTGTAGAGTTATGGATTTACGAAGTGTAGTTTCAATGAGTGGCTCTACGGTCCTAAGAATCAATGACCGGAGCCATCAAAGGCAAAAAAAAAGAAGAAAGAAAGGTTAATTTACAAAGCACCTCTAGTCAAGTGCGAATATGGTGTTAAATCCAGCTACGATCTAGTCCCTTCAGAGCTTGGAATAGGCCATTATTGTGGTCATATGGTAGAATATGATGACGTTGGTTATTTTTATGGTAAACATGAAATCATATTTTGTTTTTTTTTGTTAAGACATATATGATATAATTTTTCATTTGAACAGAGCACTAGAAAATATAGATGGGAATGTTATGATGGTCAAGCTAAGTTCTTGGATGAACTGAAGGGGAGGCAAGTAATTGCATGGAAGAGAGGATATGGACATGACTACGTCAACCTATTCGTTAAATATCACAAAAACAAGATGCGTGAGTTTGCTTGACAGCGCGGTATTCGTAACCCGGTCGATATTGGGCTTGACAAATGGGGATTGGAGAGACGGAGGGTGTTAGAGGAGGAGAGGGCAAGAAAGGAGGCAAGGGAGGAGGAAAGAATACAAATGCAGGTCTTGAACGACCATGTTGTTGCATTGTGTGCCAGTGAGTCATTGGAAGCCTTGTTATTTTCATTGCCTGCTTTTAAATGTAATATAATCGCGTTGCTAACTTATTGCATTTCATACATGAAGGGATCGGATGTAGCGAGGACCATGCCGCAGAGGTGGCCCGTGCAAGATTTAAGGAAAAGAAGTTACATGAGCACAGAACACGAGCTGGTTGCACCGTTCAATCTCTGATTGTGTTGTCTTATGAGGAGGACGAGGATGAGGACGACACTGCCAGGTTGAGCGATCTCATCGCTCTTGCTGAGGCGGGCTTGCAAGTGGAGGACGCTGAGGACGACACTGGCAGACTAAGCGAGCTCATCGCTCTAGCAGAGGCGGGCTTGCCGGTGGAGGATGCTGAGGACAACACTGGCAGACTGAGCGAGCTCATCGCTCTAGCAGAGGCGGGCTTGCAGGCGGAGGAGGATGATGACACGTTCTTCACTCAGGCCGTAGAGGCCGCAGATGAAGCGGATGCCGCTTACTACAAGCGACAGACAGATCAAGGCAATACAGGTGACCCTAGCCACGTGAGTCAGACGGAGGAGGACGCGTTCTTGACTCAGGCCATAGAGGCCGTAGGTGAAGCGGTGGCAGCTTACTACAGGCGATAGGCAGATTAGGACAATGCCGATGAGCCTAGCCACAACAACGAGGTTATGTTAGAGGACTGGTACTTGGATGACAAGTTGCTTACTCATTATGTTTCAGACTGAGGATTGGTACAGGTGTGCTAGTTCAATGTTTTAGATTTAGTATTTATATCGTAGTAGAACTTTCTCGGTGCTGCATTGTGTTTTATTTGAACTATTTATGTATTGTACCCATGTAACAAACACTATTTTATTTTTGTAACGGACATTGTGTTATCTCATTAAACCTTCACCATGAAAAATGGTATTACAATGCTGCTGCTGAGCATGGCACGCACAGCATGGCGCGGCGGTCAAAGCGGCAGCAAAAGGAACAAGGCACTTCTGTTATGTCGTCGTGTCGATTTAACGAATATGTCAACAGGAAGGATAAGTGCACGAGACAATCAATACACAAGTTTAGCAATACTAACTTGTACGCGTCCCAAGTTCATCGCAAGTTCGACATAAGTTTAGCAAGTCATAACTACGACACAAGTTTGACATTACTCGACATACTACATGTTCCATCAGTATATGGGTGTCCGAGTACAAGTGCATCCTAAAGAAATTCCTACGACTCAGGAGTATATGGTGACTGCGGACGTCGCTGCCTCTTCGGACGTGAAGGCAGCATGTTAGGGGTGAACCCAACGTCGGTACGGTCTCGCTGGCGGTACACCCGGCGGTACTGCTGAGTGTAACTGGGACCCTGCAATTACAATATAGGCATCATTACTTACAATGTTTAAGTAATTGTGACGTATATGGCGAAGGGTTATTTCAAGTACATGTACGTCGAACTGTGTAGGAAATGGTGCATCACCAAGCTAAGACATCCCAATCTCAACGTAGTCCTCGTCTTCCTCCTCGTCCTCGTCCTCCTCGTCCACCCTTGCCCCGTACACTAAAGATATGGCGGCAGGGTCTATATGGTTCGGTGGTGTGCTGCTTGGCCAATTCCTCGGCCTCCTTCAAATGTTCTGCTCTAGCCTTTCTAAAATGCCCCTGCTTAGCTATATTCCTCTATGCAAGTTCCCACCTTTTGATAAAATATTCGTTGCACTTATGAAAGGAGAACTCAACAATTCCAGACATAGGCAACGATCAAACTCCGATGAATACACGGTTGAAAGACTCTAAGGTGTTAGTGGTCACAATGCCATGCCTAAAACCCCCCTCGTCATATACTAACGCCCACTGAGCCTTCGGTTCCATATGCGCCTCTAACCAGGCCTTTCTCGCTTCATTTAGCATCTTATCTAGTTCTCTCTTTGTCTCTTTGAATTGGTGCTCTATACGTTCACAACATAGATCCTTTACCTTGTCACATACCTCCTTCCTCTGACGCCGCCGACGTTCATGGCGTGGCTAAAAGACAGCTTGGCGCGTGCAGGAATGAATGGGCATGGTGGTATGGCGCGTGCGGTAGCAAGGTAGGCGCAATGGCAGCGTCTTGGCAAGGCGGTGTGGCAGAATCACCAAATCTAATGCCTTCCTAGGAGTGCTCGTCTTCCATTAGACACTAAGCACCCAAGGGAGGACACTAAATTACACGGTTTCGTCGGGCACACCCCGGGGATGAACCCAAAAATCCATATTTTTACATCCGGATCACAAATGAGAGAATAAAACTTACATCATTTTTAACCATTTCTTACATCACTTTTAATACAACATCAGAGTATAATATTTATTGTTATAACAACAGAAGATAATCATATTATTAGAGTTATGAATAATTTAATTAAACAACGAAATATAAATATATGATCAGAATTACAGCAGAAATAAATATCTATTCATGGCATGATGTAAACATTGATAATTGAACTATGACAACAGATTATAAAAACTTCTGTTTATAAAAACATTTTGTCGGCATAAAATTTTGTCCCGTGCCAAGGGCACACGAGCAAGCCGAAAGGGTCCGCTAGATGGAGCTGGAGATCCGCCTAGCTTCAGCTCAGGGATGGTCGATCCCACGCACTCCTCCCAAGGCGTGCCAGTCAATTTGACCCTTTAATTGATAAGGAGAGAAAAGCTAATCAGTAATTTAGGGCGGAACGTGCCGGTATTGCCAGACAGTCCCGAATGTGCGGCTCTGAGAGCCGATATGAA